CACTCATATGGTAGATCTTCCTCGTGAGATGTGCAAATCCACACGTGATGAGCGAAGAACACAGCGCCGTCCCACGCGTCGGAGACGACAAGAGTACATGCCAAGTAAAGCTTGCTGGTGTGTGGGCAATAAGTCAAAGAGTAGTTTTGCAGAAAAAAACTTGGGACTATAATGTCATAATATATCAAAAATTGCAGTCAATAGGCGTGTAAATATTTCGAAAAACGATCACTTACTTGGAGAGTGAGTCTTCTCCGGTTGCTTCCAGCACGGTCGGTAGGATCGAATGGATCGTGGCACGTCGAGCCTCGAAAGGAGTCAAAAGCCGGCTCACAGTCGACGAAGCGCCTGAGCCATGAAGTGCAGCTGGGTCGAGTTCAACGTTTCCAGCCTATTCGAACGTGGAAAAGGAGATAAGAGAAGCATTAACAGAGCGAAAGGAACAAAATCACAAAGTAAGTCATGGGCATGGAAAAAACTAATGAGAGGCTAAAAGGCGTAATCTGTATGGTCCCATTAATTAGTGTGAAAATGTATTGTAGGTGTATATGGTGAATTAAAATCCAAAAGGATGAATTAAATGAAAACTAATTTTGTCAATTAAGTCCAATAGATACGCCTACCTACAAAGTGGATCGTCGTTAAGCCTTGCCCTAGTGTGATTCTAAGTCAGGTTAGGCATCGTAGCAATACTGGACAAAACTGCACTTTTTACTCACCTTTGAGGCTATGTAGGGCAGTACAGACAACTTCAATTTAGAGTGAAGGTGTGCGATGAATACGATGGCGGATTTCCCTCGGGCTAGCTGTCATTTTTCTTTATATACACATAATAGTCCAAATCTATGCGTTTCTATGAGGAATAGAGTAATTTGAATAGTTCATGACACATATAGATGTGATTGTGTGTATCTGGGCGATTTATGTGAAAGAGACGAAAACAATCAAAACGACGGCTGGCCAAGAGGAATCTGCCCACCCACTTGTAGCTTATAATCACATGCTATCACTCGAGCTAAAAGGGAGCATAACAATTTCGGAATAAGCGGTTCCTCGGAAAATAACTTGTATTCTAACAGAACTGAAGAGCTGTGCGGTAGTAGAATAGTGCTGTTGAGCAGACATAGAAAAGAAACAGAAAAGATCGGTGAGGCTAAATGATGCTGATCAGCATCAAGCAACGAGAGATTACTGCGATGGCATTTGATGGAAGTACTCGACCCGGGTCGTTAAAGTGAAGCTTCCACTAGGCTCATACTAAGCGCGAAAAACGAAAAAACATTCTCTACTCGAAGGTATAGGAATAAACATGATGTGGCCACCAGTTTAGTTGCAGTTTCCACGCAGTTCCATTTTTCTTTGAAGATGATAAAAGACTGGTAACTGAATTTTCCCACAAACATATGAATTCCACATAGCCTTGCTTCCCAGAAAGTATGCTCTTCCAGGCCGGACTGCAGTTTCAACTTCGCCTAGGTCTCATCAAAATCCCCAGCGGGAATCATATCGACGTGGTTAAGGTGTCACGACCATACGCTGCGCCACCTCAAGCCGAGTTTGAGCCACGCTAAGTATGCCGACGTGGCCAGTTCAGGCGAGGTCAAAACTGCAGTCCGATCGGATTATAATACCTCCCGGGAAGCAAGACTATGTGAAATTTAATGCAAACATTAGGCCTACTCAATTCAATTACCCGTCCTTTTTCACCTA